AAAGGAATGTTTCTGAAGGTGGTAGATCTATAATTAAATTAAATTATTATTAACATTAATAACATATATTTATATAGTACTTAAAGGTTTTAAAGAGTTTTACATATATAAATATATCTACATATATATTTAACAATTTAAAACTGCACTAAATGTGTGTACATCTATCTATATCTATTTATCTACTTATATCTATATCTATTTATGTATCTCTCTCTCTCTATATATATATACATATGAATGAGTGTCATGGAATGACTTCCAGAAATATTTGAGAAACATAATTAGACATAAAATGGGCAGCTGGGTAGTGCGGCGGATAGAATGCCAGGCCTGGAATCAGGAAGACTCATCTTCCTGAATTCAAATACAGCTTCAGATGCTTTAGCAACTACGAGCTGTGTGACCCTGGGGCAAATCACTTAACCCTGTTTGCCTCAGTTTCTCCATCTATAAAATGAGCTGGAGAAGGAAATGGCAAACCACTCCAGTACCTTTGCCAAGAAAACCCCAAACGGAGTCACGAAGAATCAGATATGACTGAAAAATGACTGAACAACAAATAACATATAAATAAGCTCAAACTCAAATTTTTCTAGAAAGTACAACTGTGCCCTTCTCTACTTAGCTCCTGTCTCTTCATCTCCTTCTTGAGTTCATAGTTTAAGTACCTAAGACACATTAAGTTTCAACACTTTGAGAAATGCTACTTTTCAGAAGATCAACTTGACTAAACAGTAAAGTGCAAGAAATGATGAAATATGCTCCTTGAAACAAACTTCTTTCTACAAATGGTAAATCATTTTCTAAGTTGAGGCCTCGAGCTTTCAGAACACTTGCAGGTATCTGAAAAGAATCCTCATAGGGAATTCTCGGTGTGGGGTCACGAGGCACTACATACATCAGTTGGGTTTCTTGATGCCAAGAGCAGGATTGTCTGATATTGGACTTCCTGTTTAGAGTGGAGGGAATTGAGCAGGAGCAGATCTCAGTAACCCATTTAGAGAGCTAAATAGAAACTCCATGATTCCAAGACATGCCATTACTCATATTATCTATGACTCTTAAAACATATAAGATTAGAATTCAAAGAACACTTTTCTTCTATTTTTTAAACAATTATACACATATGCATGCTTTTCATATAGCAGAGTGACTACAGTGTTTAAATTACCCCATAAATGTTTAGGCCTCTTTTTTTTGATATGGTGTTTATTTATAGTTCTTAGACTATCAACCATTATTGCTCTATCCTCACTTATGTTCACAACAAGCTGACCAAACATGAACTTTTAAAAGGAATTTGGCTTAAAAGATTTTTGTGTGTTTGGCAGAGGCTGAGAATGTTAATCATCCCTGGACTCATTTTGTTCTCTCTTGTTTATAATATTCTTAGGGAACTTCAAATTAGAAACCTATGCCCTTATTGATTCTGTTTCCACTCTGGTGATCATGTGAATATATTTGTCATCCTGGAATGTTGACATTAAGTGTTAACTTGACAGCAATGCTAATATTTTATTCAATTTTTAAAAAAAGAAATAAGAGTGGCAACAATATGTTGTTGGTGTCAAGCTATGGTTTGTTTTGGTGGAATAAATCAAGAGAAGAGTGCTAAGACTATGTAGAGTAACCTGAGATGAGTTGGAAAAAATATTAAAGGCTAAATTTAGGAAACATATAAAAGCATTAGTATTATATGATACCAAACTCATTTCATCAAATGATAACCAGATTTGCTGTGGCTTCACTTAAACATTATAGTTATGAAAATGACATTTAACAAGATATTATTTTAGACAAAAGCAGATCATTCTTCCCTCCTAACTTCATTATAAGATGAAATAAAATATGGTAGATATTTTATTTCATCTTATAATGAAATAAACTAACCTCTACTTAGAGAAACTAACCTCTACTTGGAGTTTACTATGAATTGCAGACTCCACTTACATTCTGGACTGGGATATATTAGAAGCAGGTAATTTATACAGCTTTAAAAATTATTTTCCACTCACCTTTGAAAAAGTTTATTTAATTGCTACCAGCACCTGCTCTGGACCTGTTAAATGGGTTGCTATTTTTGGCTGGCCTTATCTAAGAGTATGGCAAAGTAAACTTGGAAGTCCTTGCAATTTTCAAATTTCCCGGTCAAGGTGAAGTTTATAATGCTTTCAGGAAAGATTTATCAAGGCGTACAAGAAAGATCATAGGAAACAGTCTAGGCCCATTTTTCCTTCTTTGCTAATACAAAAACATTTTAGATCTTTCATCAGGCCAAATTTGGCTGAATTCAAAGCCTGACTTATAAAAATTCCAAATTGACTTATCCTAACAAAAAGCCTACAAAAAAAGATAGGAGATAAATAAGAGAAATATTTGTGTGGAAATTTTTAAAAAAGCTAAAGACCACCTCAAAGTTCTCCAGATATTTCTAGAGATAGCTGACCTTCATGTAAAGTGGCAAAGAAGATTTAAGAAGGTTGAAGACAAATGAACCAAAGATTAATGCTGAAAAAGTAGAGACAAAAATAGTCTTCTTTACAAATGCATTTAGAATTAGAATGGGAAGTAACATATGTACTGGTTTAAAACAAAAACAAAATTTCCTTCCTTTTGGGAGATTGGCCAAATAAGAAGAGTAGTAGTGTTTGATTTTTAGGTAATGATATTTACCAGAAAAACTTGAATATTCTCACAAGTAATTCAATTCAACCCAGCCAACATCTATTAAGTGCATAACATATGCAGAGCACTATGCCAGGCACTGGGGGGAGAAATAAAGTCCTTTATGAGATTAACAGTCTAGTGGACAGCTTACACTGACTGTCATACACAATAATACATGGTAAGTACCTTAGAGACAGGAAAATGCTCTGTGAGAGGTCCATAGACAATGACTCATTCTCATAGAGCTACAAAAATGAACAATTCAATTACTTATCCAGATGTTTGGTCTACATGATACTAAACAATTGATTGGACTATATTGCTCATTGAACTGACTGGATGTTTTGGCAACATATAGATACAAGCTCAATCTGCAATGCAGCTTGAGTTAGAAACCAGGCATTAAGTTTCTGAAGTTTTAGTCATCAACTTTACACTTGCTTATCTGTGAGCTGAGTTACGAGGCAAAAAGTAAGGAATGAATAGGTTTCAGGGAGAGAGTTTCTCTCTGCCAGTCATTAATGTACTGAGCTTGTTCTTGTATTGAAAAAGAAAACATCTTATTCTTTAGCTCTGTGAGTTTCTACAATTTAGATGGGACTGTGTACTTGTAAACATGATTTAACACCCAAGATTGACAATCTATAGCACATGTAACCAGAAGTGATGAACAAGGTAATAGCTCTCCTTTAAACAGAACTTTAATGTTTACAAACATACACATATAAATATGAAACACATATATACACATACATATGCATACATATATAGTATATGTGTGTATAGTGTAGTATGTATAAATATACACATGCTATACATACACACATACTATATATAGACACATAATATATATACACACATACTATATATGTGCTACATATGTATATATGTATGTGTGTATACACACATACACATATACATTGTATGTATATGTACATAGACATTGTATGTATATGTGCATAGACATTGTATGTATATGTACATAGACACTGTATGTATATGTACATATACATACATATACATGTGTATGTGTGCATGTATATAGTATTCGGGATGCTCAGTCATGCATCAAGAAGAGAATAGTAAGGTCTGTATCCCTCTTGCTCCCTTGGACAGGATGTGACTTCCCTAAATGAGGTACACATTCCCTTGTCCAGAGTCTTTAATACTCCATTGACCTGGCCCTTTGTTTATAATTGACAACAAAGCTCACAGCTAAGGATTTCTACTAGCAATGAGGATCAGCATTTTGACCTTACTTTGACAATGAAGCTTATATCTTTAAGCTGGGCCTTGGAAAATACTACAAGATTCAAAGAAATAATAGGGATGGAGTTGTAGGTGGTAGAATTGATGTATTGAGCAGAAACCCACATAGTTAGCCCACTCAAAATTTTGGTAAAATTGTATTTGAGTTATTAAAAGTCATTTTCTAGGCCTAGAGGGAAAGGCTAACAGAAAAATAAACAAGAAAGAATTTAAGAATCTGAATAAAACATTAGAAGAATGTGGCATAACAGACCGTTAGTAGTTACTGAATGGGAACTATAAGGAATATGCATATTTTTCAGTGTTCCGGCATCTTTGCAACAATTAACCAGGAGCTAGGGCATAAAGAACTCATAGACAAAGATAGAAAGGCAGAAATACTAAACACTTCCTTTAAAGACTGCAATGAAATAAAATCTAATTAATAAAGGGAAAATAGCAAAGAATTTTGAATTAAAGTTTAAATTATTTAATCCAAATATGAGTGGCTCAAAGAACAAATCAGAGAAACAAATAATTACATCAAATGAGAAAACATACCAACACTTATGGGAGGCAGCCAAAGCCATTTGTAAGGGGAAATTTATCTCTAAATACATGTTATCAAAAGAGAGAAGAGATCAATTAATTGAATGTGTAGTTTGAAAAATTAGAATATCAATAAAATAATAACTACCAAGTAAAGAAAAAATATAAATTCTGAAAAATCAAAGTATCTTCTGAAAATAATTTTTAAAAAATTATTGTTAGAGATGTTTAAAAGAAAAACACAATAAAGTACATAGACCATTTGCTAATTTAATTTTTATAAAGATAAGGAACCCAAGATTTAGAGAGGAATTTTCCCAGGCTACCCCTGACCATGCCTCCAACAAAAAGCTTTTCTAGCTCACTTCACTAAAAAGACTTCTTGGAAGGATGACTCAGAAGTAGTCTTTAAATTTGCCTTGCTTTCAGAGAACCAACCCAACACTCTTTTCCCAGGAGACTGGGAATAAATAAATAAAATTGATCCTTTGTCTCTATGCTATCAGATAGAGGGGAAAAAATTAGTTTCTAACCTGTTAAGCCACATCTTTTGTCAGGCATAGTTCCTACATCAGGTTTAAGAGATTTGAACTCCCTCCTTGAGAACCAGCCGAGCTGCTTCCGTCTTTGGACAAGGCTTCGTTTCTCTGGCTGGTCAGCTTCCCCAAAAAGAAACACACTGCAACCAGGCACATGAATTGTCAGCTTTTCAGCTAAGCCTAAGGAGAAGGGGAAGGAGGCAGGGAGAAAGAATAACAAAAATCAAAGTCTTTAAAAATGTCCCATACCTTTATTCATATTTGAAAAATTCACACTTTAGTGTCCTTTTTCCTTTAGCTCATTTTACAATTTATTTTTATACAAAGGACCCAGAACTCAGTACCTATTATACACATATACATTTTGATTTGTACACTTTCCTCTCTGGGTTTTCGTGACACTGCTCTCTCTTGGTTCTCCTGACTGCTTCTTCGATTTCCTTTGCTGGCTGATGATCAACATCCCACCTTCTAGGAATGGGTGTAGACTAGGATTATATTTGAGACCTTCTCTTGTTTATATATATTCTATCTCAATGATCTTATCAACTTTCATGGGCTCAAGTATTATCACTATGTAGATAATTTTCAAATCTACATATTCATCTCTTATCACTTTTCTAAAATCCAGTCCCATACCAATTTGTGGGCTGAATATCTCTCCTTCTGAATGTCCCTTAGACAACCCAAACTTAATAAAATGTCCAGATTCATGAACTCAACGACATCCTTGACCCTTTACTCTCTTCTTCCATATCCAATTAGTTCTCAAGTATTGTTGAGTCTACCTTTATTTTATTTCTTGCATCTACCCCTTCTCTCAATTCATACAAGTATTTCTCCAATTCAGATTCTCACCAATTCATGTATATACATATACACATATATGTACATGTATACACACATATATACATATGTGTGCATATGTACATACATACATATACACATAAATTCAACAAGTGTTTATTGAGCATTTACTATATGCAAAGTACTCCACTGACTAGGTGCTGGGGATACAAAGACCTTCTTGGCACTTCTTACTTGAACTATATTTTGCAGTAGGTTCTTAATTGTTCCCCGTGTCTCCAGCTTCTCTCTCCCAATCTACCTTCCGCATTGCTGCCAAATTGATATTCCCAAAGTCTAGATTAGGCCCCTCCTCATGAAACTCCCATGGCTTCCTATTGGCTCTGGGGAAAGATATAAACTTCTTAACAAGACATTTAAAACTCTTCACAATCAAATCTGAAGTTTAGAGTCTAAACTATCATTCCAGACTTGTTTCATTCCTCATATATTTTATATCCTAGCTAAATTGATGTACTTGTTCTCCCCTTTACATGATGCATCCTCACAATTCTTTACCCTTGCACAGACTATTTCTCATGCCTGGAACGCAAGACTTCCTCATTTCTACCTCCTAAAGTTCCTAGCTCCATCAACTCAAGTGCCACATCCTATATAAGCTGTTTCCTGATCTCTCTCTCTCTCTCTCTTTCTCTCTCTCTCTCTCACACACACACACACACAATTATTAGTGCTTCCCTTTCAGACATCTGCTTTGCATACATTCTACATTTACTTATCAGTTTATTTTTCCTCTTATTTCCTACCTGAGCACCCCCAGTCCCTAGTAGAACAGAAGCCTTTGAGGGAAGGCAGCATTTCCATTTTTTCTTTGTATCCCTCTTGCATCTGCCACAGTGCCTTGAACATAATAGATGCTGAATAAAGATCAAATTGAATCTGAAAAGGAACTACCATTATCTGTTTTATATGACATAAACTGCTTATTCAAAATAAACTTTTTAGATGTACTATGATTTAAAAAAAATAAAACTCCCAGGCCACTTTCACATATGGACCCCCAAAAGCTGCCTCAGGTTTGAGTCTCTCTATAAGACAATGCCTACTCAAAACTATGGCCCATGAGCCCCTACAGATGTGTTTCTTTAAAAAAAAATAAGAACAGATCCCAGAATTTCTATTCCATAGAAAGGAATTTACACATTATAATGTAAGGTCCTTGAGGGCAGAGACTGTCTTGCTTTGTGTATTTGTATAATTGGCTCCTGGCATATAGTAAGTACTTAATAAATGCTTTTTCATTCATTCACATACACAGAGAACATTCAGTCAGTCGACAAGCCATTTATTTATTTATTTGTTTGTTTGTTTATTTATTTATTTATTTTTGGCTAGGCAATGGGGTTAAGTGACTTGCCCAAGGTCACACAGTTAGTAAGTGTTCTGTGTCTAAGGCTGGATTTGAACTCAGGTCCTGCTGAATCCAGGACCGGTGCTCTCTGCACTGTGCCACTTAGCTGCTATGACAAACCATTTATTAAGAACTTAACAAGTGCCAGACACTGTGCTGAGCACTGGGGATACAAAGAAAGTCAAAAATACAAAGTCCGTGCCCTTAAGGAGCCCACATTTCTAATGGGGGAGGCAACATGCAAACAACATGTATAAATGCTATATGGTGTAAATGAAAGGTAATCTCAAATAGATAGCACTGGGGCAGCAGGGGTAGAGTAGGTGGGGAGCAGTACGGGGAGGTGGGGAAAGGCCTTCTGCTGAAGGCAGAATTTGAGATGAGTTTTCAAGGAGGCCAAAGAGTCCAGGAGGCAGAGGTGAAGAGGAAGATCATTCCAGACATGGGTACCTCCAATGGAAAGTACAGTCTGGAGATGGAGTGTTATGTGCAAGGGACAGAGGAAGGCCAGCATTGTTGGACTATAGCATGTGTAGAATGGAGCAAAGCATCGATAAGAAGACAGAAAAAGACAAGGTTGTAAAGGAGTTTAAATAATAATAATAACAACAACAATATTAGCTAGCATTTATATAGCAACTATTATGTGTCAGGCACTGTGCTAAGAGCTTTTTACAGAAATTATCTCATTTGATGTTCCCAACAACCCTGTAAGGTAGATGCGGTTATTATCTCCACTTTATGATTGAGGAAGCTGAGGCAAATGGAGGTTAAGTGACTTGCCCAGGGCTACACAGCTAAGTAAGTGTCTGAGGACAGATTTGAGCTCAATTCTTCCCGACTCCAGGCCTAGCATTCTATACGCTGTGCCACCTAGCTGCCTCAGGATGGCTGAAGATTTTATATATTATATTTTATATTTTATTTTGAGGTTACAGGGAACCATTGTAGTGGAGTGCCATAATCATAGTCACACTTTAGGAAGATCATTTGGCAACTGAATGGAGGATGACGTGGAATGGGGAGAGGCTTTGGAGGTGCCATTGTACTGCCTTTCCTGCTCTCTGCTTGCTGTAATGTTTTTGTTTCCTGTTGAGCATCATGTCTCTATTGTGCATCTCTGCCTATCTCTAACTGCTGTTCTCTATAAGCTGTTCTCTGCTATCATTTACTGGGGTACAGCTGCTGCTAAGCCTCTTTCTGGCAAAGAAGATTAACTTCATTTAGTCTGCCTGGGCCTGTATAGCCAATTTTCTTTCTTTTCTTCCTTCCTTCCTTCCTTCCTTCCTTCCTTCCTTCCTTCCTTCCTTCCTTCCTTCCTTCCTTCCTTCCTTCCTTCTTCTTTCCTTCCTTCCTTCCTTCCTTTCTATCTCCTTCTTTTTCCCCCTCCCTCCCTACTTTTTCCCCTTTCCTCCTTCCTTCATTCCCAAATTATTTGATTTAGGATTAGAAAATTCCTTTTAATTTCTGTCAAATCCCTGATGATCAGTCTGTATTCCATCAAATGATTTTGGAGACGCCGCCCAGTAAAATGCAAAGGAGCTATGTAGGGTTGACAAAAGTTTTATGTGAAGTTCACAGACTCTTCTTTAGATCCTTTCTTCTAAATTTGCCTTTATTGTTTGCCTTTATTAGCAAAAACAAAATCACTAGTCTTTGTTTAGCATTTTTGACAGCAACAAACCTTTCTAGACTCCCTGAAAATGCAAACTGAAGAAACCACTGTGTCTAATTCATGAAGATAACATTCACCTCCTGTGAAAGACAGAAGTACTACATCCCTAAGCTAGAAGTGAGAAGACCTAAATTCTAATCTTATCTCTAATACTTACCTTGGTAAAGTCAATTCCTCTCCCTGATCCTCAGTTTTCTCATCTACATGTGACCTATAGGTTTATAAAGAACAAATTCACTCTTAGGGACTTCTAAAAGTTTATCCCTGGCTTATACATCCACACAGAGTTTCCTCTGAGAATACTGTACCCCTTCCTAGGGTTTCCCCTCCAAATATCGTAATTTGGCTCACTCCTAGGCTATACAGGAAAAGGGAAAAAAAGTCCTTCAGCTCCCCTTTAATAGAGCACTGCTGATAAAAGAGACTTCATTTGACCTGGGGGGAGAAACAAAAGTACAAGGAACTAACCCAATCCCACAGATAGTTAAAAAGTCCCCAAACACCTCTCCTTTCAGGTCCCAATTTATAGTACTACCATAGGTAATGCTACAATTGCTTTGAGTTGAGGTCCTTCCTGATCCTTACCAATTTCCCATCCCACTCTCCATCCCCAGGGAAAAGCATTCAGATCACTAAAAAGTTAACCCTTTTCAATCAACCTGTGCAGCCCCTATAATTGAGAGTACCAGTGGAGGGGAAGGCGTGGGTTCATTCCTCCCCATTATGGATTTGTCTTTTTTATACAACAAACATCTTCTAAACATCTACTATTTGCCAGGCATTATACTAGGCAGTGGCAATAAAAAGATAAAAATGAGAGTCCCTGACCCCAAGGACCTGAGAAGAGGAAAAGGAAACACCACACACATGGCTATGCAAACGCAAAGTATATATACAGTAAATACAAAGTCATTTCAGGGGCAAGGACACAAACAATTGCAGGGATCAGGGTAAGCCTTGTACAGAAGGTAATGCCTGAGCTGAGGCTTGAAAGAAGCTAGAAATTCTATGAAGTGGCACAGAGGAGGGAGTGCGCTTCAGGTAGGGAGGCCAGCCTGTGCAAATGCACAGAGGTAGGAAATACAGTAGTGTGTCATGTAGAGGGAACAACAAGTGGCATAGTTTGGCTGGAACAGAGAGTCCATGAAGGGGAGTTGTGCATTAAGCTTGCAAAGGTAGGCCGGATCCAGGTAATGGAGGGCTCTAAATGCCAGATGGAAGAGTTTGGATTTTATCCCAGAGGCAAGAGGCAGCCTTGTGAGCTTTTGTCAGCAGGGGACTAACACG